CTCAAAGTTTCGTACTTCCCCAAACTGTTTATGTTAGTCAATTTTTTTTCGTTTTTCATTTTCTTTATTCTCATTTTTTTTCAGCGCACTTGTTCCCGCATACTGCGTGTGATCAGTACCTTCTGGGAGCAGCGGAAAGAAACCGCTTCATTGATTGAATTGAGACCTCATTCTTCAGACGTGCCTTAACCGTGTACAGAGTATCTTTTGAAAGATAATGAGACGAGGAATTCTCCCTCTATTGAGGAACAAACCCTTAAACGCACAAAATAACGCGCTTCGATCAAAACTGGCCCACGCCCTGCCACCCAAGCAGATGATCTTCCACCGTTACTTTTACAATTCAAGATCTCAGGACGTCAGCAATAGTTTCAGCACCAAGCCAATCACTCACCTGGAAGCAGTCACCTGTGTTCCCATCCCACCCCACGAACCGTCCCACACAACACGTCCTGTCACTGTCACTAGCGGCGCAACGAGAGGAGCTCAACTTTTTCTATAAACGTTAATTGGACCCCATTAGCGGTATCCGTCACTCCGATTGACACGCATGTTATTTAGATAAGAGCTCACTGTCTTGCGCGCATTGAGATTTTCCTCGTCTCTTCGCCCCCCCCCCCCCCACCCACACCCTGTGTCGCAGCTCCGCGGAGATCATGGGATCGCGCTGGTGTTCCACTGAACTGCCACGAGGAATGCCGCCTTAAAGGCTAAGCTCGAGTCCAAAAAATTATGTCCCAAGAGTTTAGCAGTTCAGATAGTAGTAACAAGGTAGCAGGAGAGCAGGTGATTCAGTGGGAAGAAAAAAAATCATTCGATTTGCCCTGTGTGGAACCCGATGCCGAACAGAGGTTGTACGTGCAGAAGGCGAAGAACGTGTGGTCGGACGAGTTCTCACTTGTTGATATCATAAGATATCAGCTCTTTTACCACCTTACTCATGCTATTCGAAAATACCACCTTACATGCTATTTGAAATGAAAAGAGAGAGCCAGTAGTGGAGGGACCGCACCACCTCCAAAAATGAATTTTGGCGTCCTGCCATCAACACAGTACTCTAACTTGTACCTATTTTTCTGGGCAGCTTGCTTACCCATTTCACCACACTGCTTCATTACTTGCAGAGCTTATCCACACTTATCTCACTAATCATAAGTGTAATATTTATGTAGGTGCATACATACATACGATTGCATCCAGTTTATA